TGGAGGTGGGCTCCACTTTGCCACATCACCCACTCAAATTGGTGAGTAAATGACCTAAGTGGGCAAAATTACTAAAACACCCCTACCACATCATCAAACTTAGCGTACTTTTGGATGGAGTTGATGGTAAGGGGCAATGTGGAACATCAAACCTTGGTCAATGGGGCAAAATGGGTCACTTTTACTTTAAGGAGCTAAAGTGAGATTTGACCTATGTTTCGGGGGGCACTGTAACACTTAAGCATATATTTTATCACAAAAAAATATGTGGGATCCAATACATCTATCCCTTTTCAAGTAGGCAACATTGCCTCATTGGGAGCCTATTTGCCTACTCCCATGGAGGAGAAAAAAGCTTATGTGGCACATGATTTGCCTACTCATTTGCCTATACCCTTTTGATGCTCCTAGGTAGCATGTTGCTTGCCCATTTGCCTCATTCAATGGCCCACTTAATCAACCTGCCAGATGTCACTGGCTTCTGCAACACTTGTCTCAGAGGTTGATTAGTAATGGTATGAATGGTGTGGGCTTGGAAATAGGGCCAGAGACGTCTGGCTAAAACGACCAAGGCGAAAGCAAGTTTTTCTATGTCCGAGCTTGTAATGCTTTGTTGACATAGTGTACTTGGTGTTCGGCACCATCATGTTGCCAAATCAGCACCGAGCTATTTTCAGTGTGAGAGACCGACAGGTAAATCATGAGTGTTTCACCAGGCGCAGGTGTCAACAAGATAGGTGCCTTACTCATATATTCCTTCAGCTTGGTGAAAGCTTGATGCCTCTGAGGGCCTTGAAGAAGAGGGCACAACGATCAGTAGCCTTGGAGATGAACATGGTCAAGGCCGCGACGTGTTCAGTACGGCTCTGGATATCCTTGACTATCTTCCGGGACTTTCATGTCCAAGATGGCTTAGATTTTCTCTGGGTTGGCCTCGATACCTCTCTAGCTGATCATGAAATCGAGGAACTTTCCAGAAGCTATGTCGAAGGTGCACTTTGAAGGATTGAGGCCCATGTTGTATTGCTTCAGCACGTCAAACATAGTAGATAGGTTAGGGATATGTTGATCGGTAGTGCAGCTTTTGACTAACATGTCGTCAACGTATACCTCCATGGTGTGGCAGATCAATGGGGCAAAGAGATAGTTGACAAGGCGCTAGTCGATATCTCTAGTAATTTTGAGGCCGAAGGGCATCACCTTGTTACAATATAGGCCCAGTCTGTAATAAAGGATGTGTGAGCTTGGTCATCTGGGTGCATGAAGATTTGGTTGTACCCAGAATAAGCATTTATGAAGCTGAGAAGTGAACGAAACATGCATCTAATGCTTAGAAAATGAAATTTAGCCACAACCTATACAACAAAAACATTCTAAATTGCGGATTCATTTTGTTTATACTAGTTGAGCTAAACCTTTTTCATTTTAAACCAAGTATCTTAGCCTAGTCTCTTTGAACACAAATAGAAAAAAGAAAAGGGGAATAGATCTTTTACCCTTCATGACCTTTTCTTGATTTCTCAAGAATGAATACCTTTGTTGGAAATGCCTTTTGTTTCTTTTGATTTTGACTCCTTCACCTTAAGGCTCCAAGATTGGAGTCATCTACCTCACCACACCAAATGCTCCTAGAGATGAAGAGAAGGCAATCAAAAAGTATGGATGCTAGTCTACTTCTTGATTTGACCAATTTTTGGTTTATGGAAGATGAGATACAAAGATGATCACTCATCAACCAAAGTAAGAAACCAAAAACCTTAGCTAGGTTTTCTCCAACACTTAGTTTATATAGGACAACACAAAAGGCAATTGGGTGGGTATTTGGGGCTCCATTTGGTCCATGGGTCATATCATCTTATGCCACTTATCCCTTGGGCTCAATAGCTTTTTGGTCTATTTTGTCCATTTCCTTTTAAATCATATTTAAAAGCTTAATCCAATATTTCTATATGTCAATATTAATTCCATAATTAATCTTTTAATTATAATTTAACTATTAAATTATAATTATAGTCTTACTTAATTGACATGGTCGAACTATTTGACTTTGGTCAATTGCTCCCGTCAACATGTTGACTTTTGACTGTGACATTTGATTATCAACAATTGACTTGTCTCCTCATTTCATTTCTCTTCATTTGTACCAATAATCACATTCTTTGGGTGTGCAGATCCGTAGGTTCCCTTTAGCAAGGTAGTGGGTTGACTCAACTCCTCAAAGATGATATACGAATTAAATTCCACAATTTAATTCTTCCTATTAATAAAGGTTAATTGAAACCTTTTAGGACATCCACAAACCATGGTTGTTGCCTAGCAATAAGTCACGGTTATTCGAGCTAAATGAGACATTATGAAAGAACATATTCAAATTGGAATGACCGTGCAATTGAATCCTTCTCTTATGTCAATACTTCTTATTCACATTATTAGATCATAGAATTCGATTGTCAATATCCTAATGTGAACCATTCCTTTTATATGATTATCTTGGTAAGATTTGAAGACTTCTTCTTTCAAGTCTTATCCACTACTTTGCGCAGAGATTTGACCAATCATATCTTGCCGAAAATGGTCCGTGACTGGTCAACAGAGCTACGCTTGGAGTTGAAGTATTTGGCCTTGGCATGGATGCCAACTTGCTTCAATAGATTGGCATAAGTGTTCCACAGGTTGCTGTGAACCAAGTACCAGAAGTTGGATTCACGAAGGCCACTCTTGAATGCACCGAAGGCAGCACAATCGTCTGTCTATGGGCAATGAGAATACTTGTGGCTAAAGCGAGCAGCGTACTCCCAAAGGGGCTTGTATTCACTCAGCTGAATCATATATAGATCGTCCGCGGAATACAAACGATCGGTTTGAATCATGAAATGGTCTAGGAAAGTCTATTTTAGATGATCGAAAGAGTTGATGGTTCGAGGGTTCTGCCAATAAAACCAGTTCAAGCCTTCATCACTAAGACCCTTGCATCCTAGGGCAGACTGGAAGGAGTGGATGTGGGTCAGGGGGTCTTCCTTACCTATGTAGAAGTTAATGCGGAGTGGTTGAACATCTTTCTCCTGCCTATAATTGAGGATGCGCTCAATGAAAGGGCCAGGGCGTGGCTTCGTCCAAAGGGTTTCATGGCTACGTTGTTTCTCATCCTCGAAACGGTGAACTTTCTCAAATAAAAGGCACATGGCAAGATTTGCATGAGGAAGGGTGTCGGGTGTCGAAGATTTGTGGTACTAGGGGGTGGAGGCGGAAAGGTTTCCCATTTTCCAAAAGCTTCATAATGGAAAGGCTCCCAGTCCTTAGGATGGTAAGGTTCCCAATCTTTTGAATCACCAACTTCCTCCTAGGTAGGTAGGCGTGTGAGCTTCGGTAGGGGGCCAAGGTGAGCGACTTGTGGGTCGTCAAGATCTATAGGAATTGTGATGGGCTTTGGCCGAAGCTCCGAGATGCGATCTCGACAGTCCTTGTAAATCTTAGTTGGTGCATGAGGCTGGTCCTTTGGTGGGGAAATTTGGAGAGGTCGCGACTTGGTTGCCTCAGGATAAAGGTGGCCTTTGCCTTTGTCAGGCCTAAGCTACGTCGAGGCACTATGAAGAGAGACGGCCAGTTGGTTCGGCAAGGTGTGCTCGATACCTTAGGTAAGGTCATTATGGGTGAGTTGGTGGTGAGTATTCTCCCAATGGCGCTTCAAGGTTCAGCAGTCATGCTCCAGCTCCACATTTTTTTGTATGGAGGTTATCGTAGCTCTCTGTCATCTTGGCAACATTAGCATAAAGGCGCTTCACTTTGGCCTGGAGATGCATGTCAGATGATGGTTTCCTTTAGAAGGACTCCACATGGGGTGGTGTTGTCGGGTGCCAAGGCTAGCTTCGCTTGGCATCTTGGAAGTTGATAGGCTAAAAAGACGACAGGGTCAAATAGAGGAATTAGCCAGCAAAATCGGTAGAGGGGTAACATTCAGAAGTCAGGTGCCACAAACGGCACCAAACTGTTGATGGCGAAAATCAGGGATCAACTTAGGTAGAAGAAGTGTCGAGTCTTCGACTAGACAAGAGGGTTAGAGACCTTCGACAAGGAGTGATCCTGCAGAAAATAGGGATGAAGCAATTGTCAAACTTTGGGTACTGGTGTGGTACCTACCGAAGGCTCTCTAATGCTTAAGTTAGCAAGTGTGGGATGTATAATAATTTTGGCAAAGTAACAATAAAAGGTGAAAAGTAGTTATCTCATTTTAGGGACTTGTGCCCTTTTATATAAAGGTGAAAGTGAGAGTTTGTATAAAGTTTCGATGTGGGTCTTTGTGCAAATCACTATGGTGGCGACACGTGTCCGCGGCGTAGGTTCTGTAGCTGAGAGCTTCGGCAACCACCTTTGACAGGCAGTTGCTGCATCAAAGGGAATTGTGATGGTGTCATCAGTGTATTACCTTCGGTAGGTTGTGAGTCTATTCGTGCTCCAATTCCCCAGTGCCGAATGTACTCTGTTGAATATGGTATAAACAACACCTTTTGGTACGTGTGTACCATAAGTTTTTGGAGAATAATTCAGGTAGTGTTGGATCGGAGGCTCGCACACCTTTTTGTTGGGCACAACTAGATGTATTAATGGTTTCCGATTTGTCTAATTTTTTGCAAAGATGATCTATGAATGAAGACTTAAAAGATAGACAGTTCGGATCGTTAAAAGAAAATTCATAGTGGGTCTCAATGAGGGTCCCTAGGGTTCCACAAATAAGCTCATTCTAACATGACATATTATACAAAAATCCTTATAGAGCTATTCGGATTTTAAAAAACCCAAAAATAGCCACTTTTAATTTTCTAATTGATTCTTATAAAATTTTAACACACTAAGAACTAATTAGAAATTAATAAACGACTAATTTTAAAATTTTATCTTCAAATAGGCTATATATGAATTTTTAAATAAATATCTAATATTAAAATCTCAATTTAATACACCCCTTTAAAGATGCGCTGGGTTTGAAAAAAATCCTCAAAAACCACCGTTCCGCCCACCCATACAGAACTACGCTTGATGAAATGAAAGCAGCCGCCTCTCTGAATTCTGGAAACCTGGAGAAACACCGGCACAAAATACACACCTGACATTCCAATGTTTCATTTTATCTTCAAAACCTCTCTCCATCTTCAACAAACCAGAACCCTGAATGCCAATATCAGATCCCTCACCACTCTCAGCATTTGTGACTACCCAACACTCACAGACTATCTCACAAACACTTTGGCTTTCACCCCAGAATCAGCTCGTCAAGTTTTCAAGAAAATCCATGGCAGACCCCCCAACAATCCCTACCCAGTCCACTCCCTCCTCGAACATTACGGTTTTACCCCTACCCACATAGCCAAAATCATCACCATATGCCCATCCTTCCTCTGGGCAAACCCAGAAAAAACCCTCAAGCCCAAGCTAGACTTTCTCGCCCAAAATGGCATTTCTGGTCAAGACCTTGTAAGCACAATCACCAACAACCCCAGAATTCTAGAGCGGAGTTTGAACAAACAGATTGCGCCCTGTATTGTGTTCCTCAAGAGCTTTCTTGGGTCTACCTCGGCTTTGTTGTCGCACTTTTCGATCAAGCGTGGTACTGCGGTTGTGCTCAGATTTTCTGACTCTATGGGCGCGAACGCTGAGACTCTAAGACAACACGGTGTGCCTCACAGAAACATTATGAAGATGATCGCGTGGCAGCCACAGCTATTTTCAAGGGATGTTGAGGATTTCAGTAAGATTGTGAGGGAGGTTGAGGAACTGGGTTTCAATCCGTTGAGCATGATGTTCATCCATGGCGTGTTTACGCTTTTTTCGATGAGGAAGGACAAGTGGGTTTCAAAATTTGAGCTGTTGAAGAGTTTTGGGTGGTCAGAGGCGGAGTTTCAGGCTTTGTTCTTGAAGCAACCCCCGGTAATGAGGTCGTCGGAGGAGCGATTGAAGAGGGCATTGGACTTTTTCATGAACAAGATGGGGTGGGGCACTTCGGACATTCTCAAGCACCCAGTTTTGCTTTGCTTGAGCTTTGAAAAGAGGGTGTTGCCGAGGTGGTCGATACTTCAAGTTTTGATTGCCAAAGGTGTTATAACCAAGAGCAAGAAGACTACTGCGAAGGCATTTATGCAAGTTGAGGACAAGTTTGTGAGCGAGTTTGTGAAGGGTTATGAAGAGCATGCCCCTGAACTTTTGATGATGTACCAAAAAAAGCTCCAAGGTTTATGATATGTGACTCTGTTTCCTTTCAATGAGGTGGGAGCTTTTATTTTTCTGTGCAATAATTAGGTTTTTTATTTATTGTTATTGGTTCATGATTTGGTTTTTGAAGAACCTTGATGGGATTATAGTTTCATTTGCTTTTATCTATATTGGTAATTGTTTTAATTCAATATATGTTGTGCTTTCATAGTATGATTTTCTGACTTAGTAATAACTTATTACTAATAAGGCAATATTTTTTTAAAAAAAAGCTGAAACCTGATTAGTGAACCAGTTTGCAGACAGACAAAAACCTTATGAATGCATTTTTGAAGTTTTTTTCCTTTTCCTTTTATTCATTTACTATGCATTTCTCTTTTGAAATATGTCATGGTGAAAAAAAGGAAAAAGCATGTCCTTGGAATGGAACCATGCATTTATCTGATAAAAGGGAAGACTACCATTTGCTGTTAATCCATATTTTGCTAGGGGAGTTGGTAGGCGGTCTGCCTATGTGTTTGTCCATGTTACTGTTCGAAGTTTTGATTTTCTTGGGCATGCAAATAGACCGCTGCTGATAATTAGAATCTTCTATTGTTGGCAGAGTATTATTTATGTACCAGGAATGTTGAAAAAAAATCTAAAACTTGACAATGCGCATGTATTTCTATTTTTCTAGAGAGTATATTAAGGAAAAGGCATGAGAACTACTAGCACTTTTAGATATGATTTATTAGGATGAGATGACACGAAACTACTAGGCCTGGCAACTTATCAGTGGTGAGTGAGCTGATGTTCAGTTCTTTTGGAAATGCCTAATGGTGCTTGCACTTATTATGGTAGAAACTGGGAGGTCTCACATTGGTTCCAAAGTCATTTCCTTACTTTTGTTTTTCCCTTTTGTAATGGGGTGTGGCGGATAAATGATCTATTATTTAGCAGTATTTTTAATATGTAGATGGAAATCAGGAAGGAACATGTAATGAGAAATTGGGGTTGTGACTAAATGTGATGGTAGAAGAACGAGTGATGCTTTTCTTATAGGACAAAGCCAGATTCTGGGCCTCGCTCCAGGCTTCCCTTTCTTCCCTCTGAGTTTGGATTGGGAAGCAGCTAGTTCTTATGGTTTGGGTCTGTTTTCAGCCTGGCTGTTCTGCTGTTATATTGTTTTTTTGTAGACTTTTGTAATTTGATGGTTGTTTTTTAATAGACAGCTTGTTCACTTATATTGTACTTCCCCCCTTTCATTCTTGTTCTTTTTTTTCTGTTTCCTATTAAAATAGTGTGGATAATTTCTTCTGTATATAGCTACATTATTGCCTTAGTACTAAGTTTCCCCTAACATTCTTTCCTCCTTTTAGGGTAGGTAGGATGGCTGGTGCGGTCCTGAGATTGGTCATCAAGGAGTTTGAAGGTTTTTCATGGACCAATTGCTTCTCAGTTCCCACTGTATTTGTTGTGTCAAAAGAACATGATGGTCACTGTATTTGTTTGAAGGTTTTTGTGTATGTAATATTTTTGGGGCCTCCATTTTCAGTTCCATGCTACCTGTGTAATCACTTCGACTATGTCTCCAATGTGATGCCTTTTCTGATATAAGAACAACATGGGGAAATACTGCA